CGAGAGTACGGGGCGGTTGTCGACGATAGGGCGAAGAAAGAGGTGGAGGAGCGCAGAGAGAAGCCGAGGTCCGTCGGTATCGATCGGGCGTCTGCGGTAGATTGACACGTGTCATGGCCGCCTCTTGGTGTTCGAGAGAACGCGAGGTAGCGAGAGAAAGAGGGAAGTCGTCGAGAGAAAGGTTGGCGGAAGGGAGAAAGAGAAACGAGCGTAGAGGGTCGTGGTGCGAGGGAGAGAGAGAGAGAGATAGAGAGAGAGAGAGAGAGAGAGAGAGAGAGCGGGAGAAACGAAGAAAGAGAGAGAGAGAGAGAGAGAGAGAGAGAGAGAGAGAGAGAGAGAGAGAGAGAGAGAGAGAGAGAGAGAGAGAGAGAGAGAGAGAGAGAGAGAGAGAGAGAGAGAGAGAGAGAGAGAGAGAGAGAGAGAGAGAGAGAGAGAGAGGGAGAAACGAAGAAACGCGAGAGCGAGCGGGAAGGTAAGCCGGTGGTGGCGAGGCAGCGAAGCAGTCGAGGGGATAGCGGCGTCGAAGGTGGAAGAGGAGGACGAGGCGAGGGTGGTTGGCGCGGGGGGGAGGCGAGGGAAAAGGACATTAAGGTGCGTAATAGCCAGCGGGGCGAGCGCGCACCGCCGCGGCATCGATTAGACAGAGGCTCCCTCGTCCCATTGCTAGGATGCAGCCCTCCCCTTCTCCTCTTCCTCGTCGACCCACCGACATACTCACCCTCCGCGCTATATCCACCCGTTCACCACCCACAACCCATACTCTCGACCGAGAGGTCCCCACGACCACCCACCCACCCGCCTCCGCCTACTCCGTCGAACTGGAGAGCCCCCGAGTACGTGCTCTACATACACACTCGTGCGCTTATGTCAGTTCCTGTCCTGCCGTTGCCTCTGTCTCTGCCTCTGTCTCTGACTCTGACTCTGCTTTTGCTTCTGCTTCTGCCACGGCAGCTACCGCTGTTACTACCACCGTTGTGTGCCACCGCCGAGAAAGAGAGTGGCCGATGCGAAGGGAAAGAAAGGGACGGAGACGCGCGGACACACGAACACGGAGAGAACGTGTGCGCTCGCGAGGCAGGAAGAGGGAACGAGTAGGAGAAGATACGAGAGGACGAAACGAGAGGCCGAGAGTAAAGGATAATAAGAGGGAAGGAGAGACGCGCGGATGTAAAGGGTGAGAGAAGGGAGGAGAGCAGAGGCTACGCTAGTAAGGGTAGGCGAAGCCACCTAGCTATCCTATACCACCTATACATACGCTACCGGGGACACCAACGTCTAACGTCGTTATAAACATTAACGGAGCGGCTCAATATTCCCCGGACCTTGCATCCCCTGCGTCTACCTCCGGTCCATCTCCCTTCTAGACCAACCTTCGTCTCTTTGCGCTCTACCTATCTCGGACGCTCGTTCGTGGCTATCTCTCGCCTTGTTACGCTTTTCGGACCCTTCGATTTCGCGTACGTCCGACGATCACGCACGTTCGCCTCTCGCGCTGTCTTCCTCGTCGTTCGTTCACCGATTCTCCATCGAAATCTACTCAAAAACTACGAATCTTTTTCTCCTCTTCCTCTTCGGTTTTCCCTACGTTGCGCGTTCTATAACGTCGAAACCTGGAATTTGCTATGTTTTCGAAACGACAGAGACAACGAGTACTACGACGACGACGACGACGACAACGAGAGCGACGAGTACGGATGCGTGGGGTCGAGCGTTGATTATCGTTAATTGCGGTTGATACGGAAGAACGAAGGGGACGCGAAACCCTCGACCATTTCGATCGGATTAACGACACCGATCGGATTCGTGGTGCAGGAGAACGCGCGCGATATGTATCCCGTTTCGCGAAAACCTTCGGCTGTCGAATCGTTGCGAGACAAAAAACCGCTTATTTCGTAGACACGGGGGATTCGAACTTTCAACCCTCGAAGATCGCGCGATTCTCGAATCGTACGCGCGGCACGTGTAATTTAGCCTCGCGCGGCATCGTAACACGGGGAATTCGTCTAGTTCGTGCGTTCAACAAGTATCCGTCCCTCCTGTTCCTTCGGCGGCTCCCCTTCCTTCCTCGCGTCTGCAGTTAGATCGCAAAGTGGCCTCGCGCGTCCTTTAGTCGAACGTCCGGCTAAAGGCGACGTTATTTTTCGCGCGCGACGATCGAATCGAACGCGACCTTTCCTCGGTAGCAGGTGCGCCGCGCCGCGTCCTGCCGTTTTTTTCTTCCTGGAACGACGATGGGTAATAAGGGATTAGCGATCGATGCGATCGTCGATCAACGTTAACGCGACCATCGGTTAGTTGTCTCGGCGCGATGTATCAAAGTTGGATATTATATTGACGTATCGACGTCCCGACGTTGTCCACGATCGCTAGCCAATTAACGGGCCTTCTTGTTTTTCCGGCCAACACTCGTAAATCTCGGCGAATCCGTCCGCTCGATACAGTCCTGTTCTTCCGACTCGTTCATTCCAACGTGTATCCACCTTTGCTCGTGTCGTACGCGCGTTCTACGACACGATCGATTTAATCGTAAATCGTAAGATTGCCCTTGCTCCGTGGTAAACTAAATTGGGACGCTTTTATTTCGGCTCGTTCGCTTTCGTTGGCAAGTAGCTGTTCCGGTTACGTGACGCGTCGACGTTCGTCCATTGCCGCGTAAAGACTTTCGATCGATGTAGTCCTTCGGCACAACCGTATTAGTATCTCGGAAATGTCTCGTTATACCGCTGGCGTATCTACCTTCGAACGCTGGAATCCTCGATTCGGTGCGCGACGCGTTCGCGAGTCACGCCGAGAAAGAACAGCGTTCGTCGCGAACGGTTAAGTTTTCCTTCTAATTCGGTAGAGTTCCGCTACCCCGTTACGAATCGAATTTTGGTCACGCGAAAGGTAAACGCGCCACCTATAGAGATCCGTGCGTTAAGCGATCGGATCGCGAGCGGAGCGTGTTTCGAGCCGGATGGAAATCTCGTTCGGTAGTTTTGTTCGTTTAATAAGAAGAGAAGAAGACTAGTGAGAGAGAGAGAGAGAGAGAGAATGAGGGGGAAAGGGAGAGAGAAAGAAGAAAGGAAAGACAGGGTGCAGGGAGACGGAGCCACGAGGTCGCTGCCGGTTCGCAGACTTCGAAAAGGGGAAACGGAAAGGGCGCAACAAGGCCGGGGGTAGAGGTAGCGGAGGGTGTCCGTGCGGGCGGAGGAGGATGAGGTGGACGAAGGGCGGGAGGGTGTACGGTTGGTAGTAAGCAGGGGTGGGTAACGGGCTCGGGTGGCGGCAGAGGGCGGCAGAGGGCGGCGGAGGGTCGGCCAGGACTGGGAGGCGAAGTGTCGTCGTCCGAATAACGGCCAAGCGGCATCGACCGATCTTCCTACCCCTAGCTCGTACGAAGCGTCAACTTGTTTCCCTTCTGTTCCGCGAATATCGGACCTTCAATTTGCCCGGTGCGGTTCGCTAACGCGCGATGCACTGCCCTTTACGCGCAATCCATACACCGGCCGTCACTTGTCCATTCGATCGGGTCCCGTTTCTGCTCCCGTTCCCATTCCCATTCTCGTTCCCGTTCCCATTCCCATTCCCATTCCCATTCCCATTCCCATTCCCTTCCCATCCCCGTCTTCGTCCGCATCCCCTTGCCGATACTCATCCCGTTCCTTTTTCCCGTTCTGTTCCTATTCCCGCTTACATTCTCGTTCGTCTTACGTTTTAGAAAAAACGTTTCTTTGCCGACAAGTCGATCGACCTTATCCATGCGTCGACAAGCTTCTCGATTGATCGACGACAAAAATTCGACTCTCTAGTTGAACGAACGTCGATCGGACCGTACGCGAACGCGCACCTATGTTTCCAGGTTAGTCGAATATAATCGATGGAGAGTTACGAAGAGGACGACGACACGCATTTTTGCATCAAGTGCCACCTGACGATGCACGGCCTCGAGAATTACGTGCGACATCGTCAGTCCGGATGTCGACCGCCGGACGACAAAAACGTGGCCGTTCGCGTGTCGCCCACCACACCGACCACCGTTTCGTATCCCGAGATACTGAACGCGGACGCGTTCTTCAGCTCGTTGGAGTTACGGAGTAGCTCGAAACCGAATCCTCGGAGAACGACCGGTCTGTTGGAGGAGAGTAGAAAATTGAAAAAGGACGACAAGAGGAGAAAGGGTGAAAAAACGCAGGCGGAAGCGGAGGAATCCACGAGCAAAGAGAAGCTTCACGGTATGCTGCCCGGTGTTTCGGAACTGGAAGATCCGACCGAACATCTCTGCATGCCACCTTTAGTCGGGTTTCCCGATATCGTCTCCTCTACCGGCGG